TTTGTAGATCCCTGAGAGAATTTTCGATGAAGTTAACAAATATTTCTAAATAAATGAGTCAATGTTATAACAATCTATGTGTGAAATCATTCAAGTAATTTTCGTTTTTTAATATAACGTTCTGAAATTGATTGTTCTTTGTCAATTATTAGTGGAGACTGGGGTAAAGTAGACCGCTTTTCATCGTCATTAGCTCAAGATTGGAGGAGTGAAATCAAACGAATTCGTTATTATTTGCTATTTATTTGCTTATTATTTGTTATTATTGCCTGTTTTGATTGTCATAATGTGACACGACCCATTTTGTCTCACCTCTATTATTTATCAACTTTATTCATCGTGATTTCACTGACTTCATTTTTTCTGAAATCACTGATTTCGAATTAATGAAATCATTCGAAATCATTTCGAATTAATGAAATCATTCGAAATCATGAAATCACCTCCCGAGACGCTCGAAATTACCGAAATCGACTTCATTTCAAAATCATATGGTGTTACTCAATTATGGAGTGAGTAGCCCCTCGCCACTCGAGCAAAATATTTCGGTGTTGTTGAGAGCTGAGCAATTATTCATGTTTGAGTTTTTCAAACTCTAATCAAACAAGAACTATTTGGGAACTTGTTCGTTTTTCGCTCAGTGTAGACACAATTTCCTAGAGATAATTTTTCAGAGTAATTATCGTCAGGAACATCTTCCAGGGGCATTCATCCGTATTCCTACCTTAAGGTAACACCTGAGGCGACGAAGTAGTTACATTATTTGCATTCCCTTCCCAACGGGCCCGGGCAGAACGATCGATCCGCTTATCCAGACTCAACAAATACCGCGGTGCAAACAGCAGAGTGGAATCAAATTACTTACCACCCTTTTCAATTAATTATATGGAAGAAATCTAAACTCAGTGAATGCTTGGTAATATAATCATAATGAGGCAAGTCAAAGAAATCAAGATTTCAGAGAGTTGTATAGATGGAAATCATTTTCAGAGAGATATAAATGTCAGGGGTTATATTTCAATAAGGGTGGAGGATAATGAGAAACGAGTGAAGTTTATTTACCAGATGTATCGGTGGATTTTCCATCAACGTTAGAATCACCGGATCTTTTCAACTTCAGGGGAAATCGATGCAATCTATTGATTCCCTTTGACGCGTACTCCAGAGTTGGTTTGATTGAGAGAATTCAGAGTCTTTGAAGATTGGTAAATTGCGAGGTAAAACCATTAAAATTAAAATCAATGAATCCAGAAAGATGAAAAGAAATATAATTGGGAGGACAAATTTAATCAAGCGAAATGACAAAATATCAGAGGTTTTGACGTATGGAAAAGTCGAGTTTTGTCCATTTTATAGAAAAAATTCTGTGACTTTTTTACGCGTTCTTGTTTAATAGAGAAATAAGCAGGAAAATATTTGATAAAAGGGAATAATTTTTTTTCTGATAGAAATTCTTTGGTATTTTCCTTCGTCTCACTGAAATTGAAAGAAAAACAAGCAAGGGTTCGAGCGTGTTTGGCAGAAGGCATGTGACCGGTAGTTTTTGCGGCATTAGTATCTTTCTTTTTTTCTATTTCAAACCATTCTATTGGTAGTAAGCTTCCGAATAGATACGTAGCAATTCCCTATCCGTTTGACAGGCGTACAACTGTAAACACATACTACTGGGTGTCTGCAGGAAAATTTTAAACCTTTTAATGAAATAGATTTATACAAAAGATTAAATATCTCCGGAACTGCTTGGCCGGTTGCGCCTATCCAAAATACCAACCTTTAGTATTGTAAAAGCTATAATCATACCGAATTTCAACTTGCTATCTTCATTTTCTCAAGTGATCGTCCGTACAAGAATGAAAAAATGAAAAACAAGCAGGGGTCGAGCCTATCCGACGGGAGACATGTGACCGTTTCTTTGTCTTCTTTTTACTTCTACCAATTTCATTGATAATAAGCTTCCGAATGGATCTGTAGTAATTCCCTATCCTTGTGACAGGCATACAACCGTAACCACATGCTACTGAGTGGCCACAGGAAGATATCCGATCGTTTAATGAAATAGGTTCATACAAAAGATTAAATATCTCCGAAACTGGTTAGCCGGTTGCGCCTATCCAAAATACCAACCTTCAGTATGGTAAGAGTTATAATGATACCAAATTTCAACTTGCTATTTTCATTTCTTCATGAAACATCATGCGTACAAGAATAAAAAAAATTTTAAAACGAAAAAGCGGGAATATCTCGGAAATTTTGTATGAACGGATATATATATTTTGATTTATCTAGCTAGAAGCCGTAAAGATAAGTATTTTGAAAAAAAAATTAAAATCCATCAAGTAACTCATGAGATATTTGAAGAAATATATTTACACAAAAGGTTGCATATCTCAGGAACCGCTTGGCCGATTGCGCCCCTCCAAAATACCAACCTTTAGTATTATAAGAGCTAGAACCATACCAAATTTCAACTTGCTATCTCCTTTTTTTCTCAAGTTATCGTACGTACAAGATTTTTCATGAAATACAGAAAAACGGCAATATCTCTAAACTGTGTATTAAAGAGTCTATATATTCTGATTGACTTACATAGAGGCCATCGAAACGAGTTTTTTTTTTTAATTTAGGAAATCGGTGCAGTAGTTTTTGAGATATTGAGGAAAAACGAAATTTAAACAAATTATTATATTTCAGGAACTACTGGACCGATCAGTCTGAAACAGCGCGCCAAAGTTGAGCTCAATAATAGCTACAATGAGCCAAAATTTCAGATTCTTATCTACAAATTTCACCGTATTTATGTTGAATTTTCTAAAAATTAATCACCAAAAATCCAAGTTGTCACATACATACACATGACATGATCCTCCAAATATCATTTCTCCACGTTTCATAACATTCTAGACCATTTGCAATCAATATTAGAAAATCGAAGAATCGGTCAAATACAAGGCTTTCATGGTGGCTACAGTTTTTTTCCCCATTAAAAAATTCTTGGAATTTTTTTCCCCGTCAATATTTCCTCGGCAAATTCTGTCCTTTGAAATTAATTTTCCTTACTAATTTTTTTCATGTGGAATTTTGCTTGGAGTTTTTTTTTCAGAAAATGTTCATCGAATTTGTTTTCTTTCTCTTAGAGGAAAAAAAAATGAAAAAGTTAATGATAAAAATCTTATTTTTTAATTCGCGATTGTTTAATCAATTCGTTGTTTATCGACCAATGTTGATATGTAAATTTTAAATCCAATGCAATTTCATTCTTAATTAGATCAGTTGAGTTGTGTTACATTCAATAAAGATGACTTGATGCTGTGTTCAAATAAGTGTCTGATAGGGGGTATTCGCCTTAAACGGTTCAAAAAATCGATTTTTTTTCTTACATTTTATTTTCCCCTATTCTTTTAGAAATCTATTACAAAACGAATTTTCGTGCAATTCACAAAAATACCCGATATACGAGGGTTTGAAGCCGAGCGCGCACGGGTAGGCAGGTGTTCCAGTGTTGCACCACTCAACAATAGAATCCTTCCGATGGGGCCGATAAATTTCCGAACTCGGAGGCGAGAGCGGACTTATTTTGATACAATTTCATACCTGTTTCCCCAAAATTTGTCTGAGGTGGATTTTCTCGACTAAGGCGTTAGTCTATTTTGAACTCTCAGGCGAAGTGTTAACTGTTAGTAAAATATGGATAGAAAAGGATCCCGTACGAATCGTGTCAATCCATCGAGACGGAAAAAACGATACTATCATGGAAAAAAACGTGCTTCAAGCTCAAGTACAAGTTCGCCAGAGAGTGCATCAGCAAAAAAGTTGAGAAAAGGTGATGATTCTGACAATGGAGTCCCCATTTCAAACGTTGATAACTGTTTGATACATTTCGCCATGGTGTTTACTACGCTCAGTAATTTTGTGGTTTGTAGGGAGTGTCAGGGAAATATAGAATTTAGAAAAGGAGATCTCAATGGCTTGGGGTTTTAAATTTTGTTAGATTGCAAATGTGGCCAAAGTGCGATTCGATCCTCGCCTTAGAGTAACCGAACATATGAAATAAATCGTCGCATGATTCTTGCTTTCCGACTTCTGGGCATTGGTTTGAAGGGCTTCAATCTTTTCTGTGGAACAATGGACGTGGCCCTTTCCTTGAGAAACATTTTCCTGCGGAAACATTTTTCGGGGAATTTTTCACAGCGAAAAAAAAATTCGGGAGCCGGCTTCCATTCAGAAGCAAAAAATGACAGAATTATCCCGAAGAATATATATTCGATAGAAAAAATGTTATCAGTATAAATCATACACGAATAAATTTCTGATATTTTTCCGCTAGATAATTTTCCATCACGTTTGTCATTTGAAAAAATGTGCGGAAAACCTGATGCACAAGGGTTTTTTCTTAAATTATTCTCATACATGGTTATACAGCAATTCCCACTCGCTATTCATGGCCATCTGACACCGAAAATAACACAAAGATTTTATGAACCAATGAATCTAATAAGGAACAGTTGAACTTAAATTTACGGTTATAGTTTGAGAATTAAGAAACTTCATCATAGGATGGAATACGATGAGCCGCTTTTCAGTCAGCGAGAGAAGTAATCAAATTGTGCGGACCGCCGAGCTGACATTCGCAATAAAACATCAATTTATCTGCTGCGGTTGGCAATTATGAAGTATTTTATATCTTCCCTTTTTATAGATCACGTAAAAGCTGAATATTGAAGCCCATTTATTCTTATTTCCATCGGAATGAAGTCGGTTTCCGATGTCAAGGATTATGGAGACGCTTAAAAATGCAGTTCCATTATTTATGGGCATTTTTCATGGTAAACGGAGTGCCTCATCATACGCAAAAAGTTAATGAGCAATATTAATGAACAGCAATGATTTGGGGAGGGGCGAGGAGGTGAAGAATCAATAATATCATTAATGAAGTTTCTAATTAAGGTCATTAAGGTAAATGGAAATAGAAAAATAAAAACGTAATGAATGAAAACTTGTTATTGCTTCAATTCAATTATATATTTGCGTATTCGATTTTAATATATATTAAATTTCTTAAGATCTAATGGATTCAGGATTACAATTGAAGATTGAAATGGAAATTTTCTCTCTCATCACTACGCTTTAAAACAACGCAGTTGGGAACATGTTACTCGTCGCGCTTTAAATACCAAAATAAATATCTTCCTCTTTCAATATATAAAAAATTCTGACTCTGTGTTACACTATTAAATTTCGAGTTTTCGAACAAAGTTTTGTCATGAAATAATATCACTAATATGAATACAAATATTCTTCATTGCGTGGGAGAAAAAAAAATGCTCGACGATTTTCTAAGCACAATTTTTTTTTGATAAATATTATCATTGTCAGTGAATATTTGATATCAAAGTATAAATGTACACGTTCATCTACATCTACCTTTAAATCCAAACCACAATGGCAACACAGAGTCACAGTTACTTTTTTTTATTCATTTCTTTTGTTAAAAGTTCAGTGGACTGAAGTTTGAACAAAATATCTCGTTGGTATATTAAGCATCTTGAACCATAGCTGCACAATGACATTAATATTTTTACTCTCATCTAATGAAAAAACAAAAGGGTTCAAGGAAATTTCAATCTGTCATCAAAAACTGAAAGCAGTTTTCGATCACTTCTATTTGGTATCTTTGGGCTGGCAAATACCCAAAGCGACCGCAGAACTGTTTTCTCATCTTCTTTCAATCGTTTACTATCGCATAAAATGCATTATAGGTAGCTTTAGAACTTTAAACGAGTATATGAACATTTGTTTTAAATCTCTAATCACTTTTTAACGTTTTTCTTTCACTTCCCTCTCCTGGAATTTCACTAATTCCGGATTTAAAATTATAATTATGTACAAAATTATTTACATTTCAATATACACTGTTGATAATTATGACAAATACCTCGGGATCAATGGGAGTTCTTCTGTATCTTAATTACTCCACCAATTGAATTTTAGTAACGCTTAAAAATTTAACTATTGTATATTCTTTGATAAAAAAAATGAAACTTACAGTATTAATTTCTTTTCGTTTCTACTTCATACCGATTTCGGCTGAAGCAGCAGATCTACGTGAAGTAATGAATGAAATTATAAAATAAAAACGTACGACTTTTGAGCATGAGACTACACTACTTATCAATTTGTTTGTCTTTTAAGTGATTAAAATTGATTTTTTTGTGCATAGATTTGAAGGATTGTAGTTTGTGCTCTAGGAATAACCACATCGTGACGACAAGTTACCATCAAAACATATCCATGCAATAGACCATAGAAACTACATAAAACCATAATTTTGAAACAGTCTTGTGTGATGATATATCCTTTTAAAAATTCAAAATTTTGTCTTGTAAAAATTTGTTAATTTAATACCGTGTTATCATTCTTATTTCTATTATTTTCAAAAATTGTTAACACATGTTAATGAAAATTTTCGAACAATTGAGTCACCAGTCTTGTGGGGTTTTCATCAAATTTGGTAAAGTACGAGTTTTGAATATTCATTCTGATAAAAAAATATCTACGTGAACAAAGGCACAATCGACATAGGTAACATGGTTGTTGGATATTATGAATGAATGAAAAGAGAAAACAATGTGACGGACGATTCTCGAATTACCAGACTAAATTGATAATGAATACGATAAACGAAAGCACGTCCGTGAGAATTTTGCGGTAAATTTTTGCCTCAGTTTTTCCTAAAGAACCGATTAATCTGACCTATAAATAGATGGTTCAGTAAAATTTCGCGTTCTTTGGAAGATTTAAATTAGATGGATTAGATATTAAACTAAAGCTATAATTGAAAAATATAAAAGTTGAAGATATTCAAGAACCCTTTACATTTTAGTACGAAATTTATCAATGAAATTGCGTGAGAAAATTAGAAAAAAAAATTCATTGTTCCATAAATATTCCTCCAAACTTCAACTTTCAATTTTTTCTAGATTTTAAAAATATTTTCCAAATATTCATAACGAAAAATCAAATTTTGACCTTCAATATTTTAATAATAAAGTCATTGCAACATGCTCATATAATAACTGAGGTCAAATGAGGCTTAAATGTAAGCTCCAATGTTTATCTAAAAATCTAGGAAAGGATTTCAACCAAAGAAAAATATTCAAAGTACTTCGATATCCTGATTATAAAAGTAAGGAAATGTGAGATATCTTTCAAATCTCACCTAAATCATCATTGAAATCGTTAATAAAAGATGGAACCTTCTGCTCATTGGTCAGATTACCCTAGTAAAGCCATTGAAAATTGAAATTTTCTAATATATTCTCCCCTTCATTCAAACTATTCCAGAGGACGAAGTGCTCATATGTCGCTTCTGCATAATAGAAAAAACCCACATGGCATAAGTAGCTTTGTTTAATTTGCATATTTGGTGTACTCAGCCTTCAGAAAACCGAGTTTAACTTTAATATCATGAAACGATGGTCTCCTCTCCGGTTGTAAATCCCAAGCCTATTTTCAACATAAAACCAAAGAGAATGCTATTAGTAAATATAATTTTCCCCTATTCCGTACTTTATACGTTCGAGGGAAATATCTCAAGAGAATTTATACCTGTTTCATTATGTCATAAACTTCAGAGGGACATCCATCCGGTGGTTCCATTTTATATCCTTTCTCCACGCACTTAACGACGTCTGCCAATGGCTGAAGATTAAATGAATTATTATTTTCCACTTTTCTGTGTCATAATGTTTATGATTTTAACAATAACGGAATGGTAATACGTACTATTCTCGGGTAAGGTACTCGGCCGAAGGAATAAATTTCCCACAGTAGAATTCCAAAGCTCCACATGTCGGATTTATTCGAAAATTTCTGCAATTATGGAAATTACATTCACTTGTGTTAAATGGGAGATTGAATTAACTAATTAGTGAGTCTTGATGAATGGGGGATAGTATTTACATTTTGTTTTAGAGCCTCCGGAGCAGTCCACTTAATAGGAAGTTTGCCACCATCTAGTGAAAAATTTTCATCTCGTGCTAAACCAAAATCCGATACTTTTGCTGAGTTGTCTTCAGCTACGAGAACGTTCCTAGCAGCGAGATCACGGTGGACGACGTGGCGAGACTCTAAATAGGCCATTCCAGCACATGTATCACTGTAATCATGAAAAAATCAGTTGAAGAAAAATTTAATATTTTGTAAAAGGATTGCAACGTTCGTTAAATGTAATGAAGGAGTGATAGCACAATCGAGAATCTGAAAACCTAACGAATTCGATGGAAAATTCTATTGGATTTCCATTGATTTTCTATTAGTTTTCCGTTGATTCTACTTGAAAATTTCACAGCTTTTCTGCGCATTTTTTTCAATAGAAAATATTTAACGGAAACTTTTATAAAGAAATGTGATGAGTTAGAAAATTGACGATACGCGTCGCTTGTAACTCACGTAAGAAACCTTGTTCTCTTGTTTCTCAACCTCTGACATGACCGATCAGTCTATTATTTCTACCATTTATTTATTTAAAGTATTAAGTAATTGAATTAATGATAAGTTTAAATAACAATTTGTCTTGATTAAGATCGATAAACCTTACAATTATTTACATTATGACTTAGAAATAGAATTCATGTATTAAAATTTTGTAATTTTGTTTGAAAGAAAATCATCGATATTGATAACTAAAATAAATTAAATATTGCAAGGTGACGGATTTACAATTTTCATCATCCCTTCAATTTTTCATTCAAATAATAATCATCTCAGCTAAAATACGGATTATTTTACAAAAAATTTAGTAAAATTTCATAATTCTTCACAACTTTTTCTATTGAGATATTTTCGATAAATCCGTACTTTCTATAAAAATTTCAGGACATGAATTTTCTCAGTTTTTTCCTCCTCTTTTCATTCACAAAAATCAAACGAGAAAACTTGGGAAATTAGAGGCGCGAAATTTATATAAAAAATGCATCTATAGAATTAGCAGCTTAGAATAATCGAATTTCATTGATTTTTGTTGTAAATTTTTTTCTATTGAACATTTCTATTGAAAAAAGCACCGATAAGCTGCGAAATTTTTCAATAGAATCGGCCAAAAAATAGTAGAAATTCAATAGAATTTTCTAACGATTTTATTAGATTTTTATAGGAATTTTCTTCATACGTGCAGATTCGGATTGAAGGTAATATTCTCATGTCGTGTAAAAAGGAAGAAGTTCAAAGGATAATGAAACGAATCAATAGTGAAGTTCTGAGGATATTGGAGTACTTTGTTTATTTATTTTATTAAAATCCTTCCCAATATTTGTAGTTAAACATCAGAACTTTTACTTAAAACCCCAGGTTATCGAATATTTTCCAATGATTTTATTATTCAAACTTTAAAAATCTAAATTTAATTTGTTTTAAGGCCCGGACGGATTATCTTTCAAACGTTATCTTGATTGCTTCTCCATCTTCATAATGTAAAATATATCACAATTTCCATTGGATTTTACATCACGCAAGAGTCCCTAAAAATTATGATTGTACAATCAAAAAAAGTAGAAAAAAAACTGAACATTTTCAAAGAGCGGTTTTAATAGAGACTAAGAAATGAGTCCAATAGAGAGGAAATAGTGAATAAATAATTTATCATGGCAACTAAGGAACTGACAGCCATTGACTACTGTGACAAATGATGACCTAACAGCCAATAGATACATCAAATTATTAATTTGCAATTTCCTCCCGATTGGGTTTATTTTCCAATATTATTCAAAAACGCTCTTTGAAAATGTTCAGCTTTTTGTCAACGTTTTTTTAATTGTACAATTATAATTTTTAGAGACTTCAGGGCTATGTAGAACTGAATAGCAATTGGAGATCATTTCAGATTATCAAAATAAAAAAAACAACCAAGATCACGTTAAGATAATCCACCCGGCCCTAAAACCACTCTTTGAAGAAGATTCCTATGATAGCCGGGGAACAGTATTTTGTTAGAATTATCAGCTATTTCTATTTTATGAATTATAATTTCACAATTCAAAAATTATAATCGATTTTTTCATATGCCAAGTTTTATCAGAAATTATTCCATGCCAAAAAAATGAGATTTTTTAAAATTCAACAATTTCTTTTTGTTTTGTTTTATATGAACGGTACTAGGATATCATAAAGAAGAATAAGTCAACTTCTAGATGAGCGGTTAATAACAATCCCTGATTCTAAAGCAGATGGCGAAATTTGCCTAGGGCTTTTTTCCAAGATCTCACGTGGCCTTCCAAAAAAAAATATATCTTATAATGTTATTCAGATAGGATATATAGTCCAATAACTTATAAAAAATTACCAATTGTAATGAATGTTTTCCGTATGAGTACTTTTCGATTTTACGATGTTATTGACTTTATTGTTCAATTATATATATAATATGTAATTAGATTCTGTAATTGGGCTTGTGCTGCTGGGTCTATATGAAATAAGAAATGAAATTGAAAATGTAAAAGAAAAACCGTTTTTTCACATATTCTTTCAGGTATCACTCATACTCAAGGATATTCATAAAAGCCGTTAATAAAAAGGTCAATGACTCCGTTTGGTAAATCATCAAAACAATCAGCTTTTTGAAAAAACATTGGAATTAAATCAAACTAATGATTTTTTCCTCAGGGCTTTCTTCGCAAATTTCCCTCTGCTCCTCGAAAAATTTTCTCCATTTCCTGACTTTCAAGATACTTTTCAAATGAAATGGAAGAATTCTCATTTCCAATTCCTAGACATGAAAATGAGAAACCTCCTCTGGGTATCACAAACTAACGTCAAAACTAAACCCCCATTGAATTGTAATTCAACTCCTCCAGGAGTTCTAAAGTAATTACCCCAAAGACTTCTCTGATATCATGATCCCGCTCCACTCACACATGTACTAAATTAAATTTCAAACTTACTATGTAAAATTAATCTGATCCTTTTTGGTAACGTGCAGTCTTCCCCTTGATCTTAAATAATCAACGAGCGATCCTTTGCTCATGTATTCAGTAACCAGGTACATATGTTGATTATTAAATACAAGGCCGAGTAATTTAACCAGATTGTCATGTATGAGTGATGTCATTAAACTTGCTTCGGCGAGAAACCTTTGTGCTGCTTCACTATTGTCCTTCAACATTTTAACTGCTACACGTTCACCCCGATAAACTCCGAGTAAAACATCCCCAAACTCGCCCTTGCCTATGCACTCACGTAACTCAAGTTCATGCGTTTGTATGACCCATCCGGCCTCGATAAACGCCTTAGGATCGACGCAAAAATCCTGCTTCCCCTGTTTTGGCAGGGATTTAGTTAATTGTGTGCATAAACCGTCTGCATCTTGCTCGTAATGCTCCACAAGTAGTGCCAGATTCTCAAAGAACTCTTCGTCGTCAATTGTTAATTGATTGTTTTTGTATTTTACTCGGTAATGCTGGACTCTTCCCTGGAAACACACGCACAGCGTGTAATCGCCTGGGAAATTCGTCGATTCTCTGACTAGAAACAGACCGTCCTCACGAGGTCGTAGAAGTCTTTCTGCTGTTTCTCGTGAAATTTTCCCATGAAACCATCTGTAAAAAAAATGTTCCTTATGTTGTGACTGTCAAGCTTGGAGGCAAGCGAAAGAAGAAGAACGATAAGAAGTATAGATTGTTATGGTGAATATGATTAAGAAGATAAATGTTAGTCCCAATGTGATAAAACAAGTGTGTAGACTTTTAAAAATTAAGTTTTGTTGTAATTAATATGTAGCCGGTGCGCATGTAAAAGGCCTCGCAACGTTATAGATTTTGTGCAATACAAAATCTTGATCCTGTTCTTTATGTTATGGTATTTATGTAAATATTAGAATTTGATGAAGTCATACTATTTTATTTTATTTTATTTCCATTTCCGTCTTTACAATTAGATTAATTTCATTTTATCCATTCTTCTTATGACGGGGCAATCTAGATAACGTTCGGCAGATAATGGAGTCGAGCTTTAATTTGAAAATTTCTTCAACATGTTTCCCCAGAACATTTCCAAATAGATTTTGAACAGCTCTAATCACTCAATTCCAAATATTTCAGTGAATTCCCTAATCTCATCACACAACAGAGTGAATTTTCTAAATGAACTATAAAAACTTACGGCATAGCATTAAGTTTAACTTCGTGTCTCGTACTAGCCGACAATGCTGTTAAGTTACTTGAATTGGGTACGGCATTTGGTGTTAAAATAACTGGTGAAGTAACAGGACTCATATGGGTTTGTACATTCTGCGATGTGACAGGCGAATGGGTTGTCATAATCGGTGAAACTGGATGTGGCAGCATATTGTTGGATCCAGTCAAGTTATTTGTGGGTATCGAGGGAATGGTGGAGTGCATTGATTGAATCGACTGCAACGACTGAATTGCGTTTTGTATTATGGAATGGGCCGTTACGTTCGATGATATTGTATGATGATTTTGGTTTCCATCAACCTTCCCCTGCCGAGTTGGCGCTGATACATTTGGGTAACCACCACTCGCATTGTGATAAGTTGGCATTACTGCAGCTACCGGTATTCACTGTTTTTTCAGGCCCACTCAAGCAACCTGTTGAACAAAAACCATTCATATAATTAATTGCATCTAGATCAAATCTGGTGTAAATATTATTATCTCAATAGAATAAATCATATAGACAAATCGAATGTTATCAACTTTTTCTCTTAAACTTTTAGATAGAATTCGTCAAAAACTAATAGAAAGCTCAACAGAAATCCAATAAAATTATCTAGCGAATTCGTTAGATTCTTTTATTAAATTTTTTCGTGCGTGAGGGCTAGGTTTTACGTAGATGTCATTGGTTATCCGAGGTCAACCGAACGCTTTTCTACTTTTCAGAGTGTCGTAATGAGTCTATTTCTCATCGCCGATTACAATTTTTCCCAAAAATCTGTTCTCGTCCATTTGGCGAGGTGATCTATGTACACTGACTTATTGCAAAATGTTGTTCACAGAGAAAAAAAAAATTACTGAAGATTATCAGATATTATGAAGAAGACACCGTAATATATCTGATTAAATATCCCCAGTCATTACACTGAGAAAAAAATCTTTTTTGATAGGTACGTCTTCATTTGTCTCAATAAAAGGCCTTCGTAGTTCGATTCCTTGGAGTGTTTTCATCATTTCTAATACAAAAACTCATTTTTCCGAATCGTTTTTCATGTAGTTTCGTCTGGACAATGACGGTGCAGAGTTAGGCTACCGAGTGTCGAAAGCACATCCCCCTCCCTTTGGTTTGACGTCGGGGGTAAAAATAGGAATACCCGTTCATACAAAGTATTCGAGATATTCGCGTTTTTCTAATTTTTTCAATTGAGAGTTAATGTGGCGTTCCCTAATACGCGTAAAACTTGGAAGAAACATCTGGGATTCTGGCTAATAATTAGTATTATTGAGTCACACTTGTGTATCAAATTTTGTGTCCATCGATTCAATGCATCCTGGTATAGAGCAATTCATCCAAAAATCTTTTTTTCTAAAAAGTCACACATCGTCATTTTATCGATTATTTTCGCCTCCAGGAGCTTATTGTCGACTTGTTTCTGTTTTTCATAGACGTATTTTTTTGTCTCATTTATTTATAATCAACGCTCTATTTAGTATCCATGCGCGTGTCAATATCAAACTTATCAGAAAGAAAGCTGACTCAAAGGTGGAGTAAGAAGGCTATTTGTCTGAGAGAAGCCTCTTCACACAATCTAACATTACGAAACTTCATATTAGCGTAGGTGTTCGATGGTCTATTCATTCCGCCTCATGCATTTGGTACGGTACTTGAGTACAAAAGTGAGTAGAGAATAAATCCAACTAGAATAAACAGCGTCTCATACACAAAACATGATACACTAAAGTAGTCAAGAAGTGGTTATTTTGAATGTCCATTGTTCCTACAAACATTAGAAAGAGAATGTCATCGCGATCCGGTGGATCGTCCAGAATGTACATTAAGTGATTCGAGTTTCAGAGGATTTTATCCTATTTATTAGGTACTTATCACGAGAATTAATACATTCAAATTTAATTAGGTGTACTTTGATGACTCTTTGGCATGCTTTGCCCCTGTTTATTCACTTAATTGTGCATCTCCTTGTAGGTTGCACTCAACAGGTGCAGCGAAGCGTTCATATCTGCTGGTTAATATCACCAGTCACTACAAATTTACAGTAATAACGACATCCCCAATAAACTTAGCCTCCACTTTGGAATTCAGTATGAATCCTTGGCTTTGAGGCATCACCATTTCCTCAGTAACGCGTGTGAGTTAATACAGGCGTCTGAAAGGAAGCAATTATTCCGGCAGAGTATGAATCTGTTGCACCGGCAAATATTGAATTATTCAAACGGCAGTTTATCCTTGGAGTGTGGAGTAGTGCGTTATGTCACGCAAGAGGACATCGTTGATGTAGGGATATATCAATATCAGGTGGACAGGCTGAGAGATGTGGGTAGTTTAATAGATGTTCTGCACAACAAAATTTAGAACCTCAAAATTTGGATTTTCTTCCAATTGAATGGACAGAATTATTCCCTTCAAGTTGCCAAAAATGTCAGCCTCATTTGATCCTAAGTTTTTGGACATTTCACATTTTAAACTTGGCAAAAATCATTTGTTTTTTTTTTTTGAAGATAAATTAGAAATTTGGTAAATGATGTCCTGATGAGAACCTCGTAATTTGAGGTCGAAACGTCGACACTAATCACATCACTTTAAATAATTGACGAAAATTTATGGCCTGCAAGGCGACTTAAGGTATCAGAAAACACGTTTTTATTGAGACTGTCCCCATGTTTTTTATAGATAATGTTTATAATAGTCCCCGGCTATTGAAAAAAAATTAACTAACTGTACCACATAGTTTAGGAGACAATAAATAACGAAATGCGGACTTCTAAGACGCGAGGCATAGGCCAAACGGGGGTTTAGGGTCCCCTTGAACTCGATTTTTCCATCTTGTGAGAAATAGTAGATTATGTCATCAGGCGATAAAAGACATTATCTGGCGAATGTGGCTTTATAATCCGAGCCGAAGGCGACTATTACAATCACATTCGTCAGATAATACTTTTATCGCCGTGTGACATAAATGGTTCTTACAATGTTTTTAACCCTAATCTGGTCACCAAACGCGAGCCTGTGACTTTGGTCACCTGTGCGGGGATTCTCCGTCGTGTTATTTAGGTTTTAGCGTTGCCGAATTCACTTTACCCTGCCCGGGCGCGTTTAGCGAGTTTCCGGCAATGTCGTGTAATGGTCAATTTTATTTAACATGGGAAAAAATAATTCATCTGTCCGAAATAATTTGTTTTCTTTAGGAATTTTGGGAAATATGTTGTTCTAAAAACTACTATAATTTTTTAGATAGGAGAGGGTAGGGAAAAACGGACCAAGCGGGCAAACCGGACTCCTAGGGCAAAACGGACCACTGACAGAAAATTGATAATTTTTGTTTTTGCTTCCGCATGGAGCAAATTCGAAGTCATTTGTGGTTTGAGGTGATTAGCAAATCTGATCAAATTGCGGTTCAACGAAACTTGTTGTCTATAAAACCCCTGTGACGTTTACGATCCAAGAGACTCGCTTTTAATTCAACACATTTAGTGCTGCTCATTTGAAGGAAATGAAAAAAGCAAAAATTACCAATTTTCGGTCAGTGGTCCGTTTTTCCCTAGGGGTCCGTTTTGCCCTACCCGCCCCTACTTCAATTGACAAAGTCAATTTTTTTTTTAATTTTTCCGGTTAGCCAGTCAATTGTAATTAAAGAAAAATGACGCGCGGCGGGGTTTCCCGCATATACGGTGACCAATCTAGGGTTAAAAAGCTGATAGATTGATAAATTCCGAATACGGTTAATTTTTTATAAAATTTTGTACTACATAGTTTCTGCGATATTCAACACTAAAAAATGGAAATTTCGTGAAAGCATTTCTTATTAGATTCAAACAATTAATTAACAAATAATTTTTTATTCTATTCAAACAGTTATGCCTGTTGCCTGCAACAACAATATATGAGGATAGGAAAAATCAAGAACTTATGAGAATGCAGTAAATTAAGTCGTTTAGAATTTTTTCAGGAAATCCATAGGGACTACCTTTTCGATGGTATTGTCGTGGGATATACCTTAACCCTTTACAAACTCTTTTTCTTTTAAACCTATATTTGTTCTCGAAGTTACTCCTGCATAAGTTACTCCTATTTATCCTCCATGTCTGCGAAACGAGAAATAACCACAATTATGGAAAATCAAAAGAAAATGAACAATTTTCTTCAAAATCAGGACCTAATTAAAGAATAAAGTTGATGATACTCTTTTAATATTCGACAAAAAAAGATCTATAGAAAATGAAAGAAGAATTCAAATTTTCACTCGGGGCACCAACCCGAGTTCACTATTTAGAAATATAAAATTGACAATATGCACCGGATTAGCATGAGGTTATCAGAGGATTAAAGTTTTTAATATCTTGATTATCTACCAAGGAATCCCGAGTTTTTGTTTGGTCATTGGATGCAGTATATTTTTCCACATAAATCTCTATTTTTATTTCGATTTTTAGAATTTTCCTGCATTATCAATTTGAAAACAAATCCGATGAGAGCCAGTGCATAAGGAAAATTCGTTTATTGCATTAGATCAAAGCAACAAGAATAAATTTTTCTTCATTATCAGAAATTCGCCAAATCGGCGGACATCTTTAACTGCAAAATCTGTCCATTGCAGGAATTTGAATAGGATGATTTTTTTGAAATTAGTATTTCTCATAATCTATCATATTATATTTCCGGATAGGTTCTTCAGCATTTAACCTTTTTTTCACATCGATTGTGAAGAGAATTGGAAAATACAAAAAAGCACGCACGAAAAAATTTAATAGAGAAACCGCTAGACAATTCTTTTTGATTTCTATTAACTTTCTATTATTTTTGGGCCAATTTTATTGAGATATTTTCTGTAGAATTTCTTCGGCTCAAATTTTTTCATTTCCTAATCAACCAAAAAAATTTCGAAAATTTCAGCCGAGGAAATTCTATAGAAAATTCAATAGAATAAGTTATATAGAAGAATCGAATTCCGTTGACTTTTCCTGTGGAATATTTTCTATTGAACATTTCAGTAGAATCGGGCTGAAACTAATAGAATGTTCAATGTAAATTCAATAGAACTCTACGGAATTCGGGAATTTTTTCATAAGCGAGTCCTGTCCGAATATGTTGCCACCTCCCTTTAATTGTAAGATGTTGAGCGAGAACTCTGGGATGGGTAAAATCGACTCATCTCGTTTTACGACTTCACTATTGATTTCTGCCTACAAATTGTTGAACCAGGAAAATCTCGAGTACATATTCAGAACAGTTGCCATTCGCAGATAATGATTGAAGAGGGAGAGAAGTATTTGCTATTGATATAAGATTTATACTTCTGGAGCGGCACAAATAATTGACTTGATAATTGATGTTTTCTACTTTTGTTAATCAGATAAATGTTTGGATTGGAAAATTCTAATAATTCTAGTTTTAATGGGTGGAGCAGATTCCAGATCTC